TGCTTCTTCTTTTGCCAAACCTTTCAAGCTAATCAATGCTTCTCTTTCTTCTGTTGTCGTGTTAGTTTGGAAATCAAACACAGACTCGGGTTCTGCCATCCATTCCCAGGTTTCAGAGAGTTGACTCGGGATGTGTTGTGAGGTGGAGGACTCACCAACCGCCTTTTTGAGCTGGGACACAAGGAAAACTGGATGGACTTTCACTTCTGCTAGTGCTGGCAAATTCAATCGATAGGCCACTTTTCCGATCCTCTGTAAGACTTCATAAGGCCCGAAGTATTTGGGACTCAGTTTTTCGTTCCTTCGTTTGGCCAAGGTTCGCTGTCTGTAGGGACGAACCTTGAGATACATTTTCTCTCTAACCTCATATTCAACCTCCTGGCGATGCTTGTCCACCTGCTTCTTTATTCGGTCTTGGGCCTGCCTCAAATGGTCCTTCGACTGTTCTAATGCCTGGTCTCTTTCGACCAGCTGTTGGTCGAGAGTTGCATTCATTGTCTTCTGGTTTCTATACATGATCAGAGGGTGCCTGCCCATACACTGCCTGGAATGGAGTAGTGTTTAGAGACTCGTGATAAGTTGTGTTGTACCAGTATTCCACCCACGATAACCACTGGCTCCAATGTTTGGGGTGCTCACTGCTGAAACACCGGAGGTAAGTCTCCAAACAGCGATTGACGATTTCCGTCTGTCCATCCGTTTGAGGGTGGTAAGCAGTACTGCGCTTCAATGTAGTCTCTTGTAGCGTGAACATCTCAGTCCAAAAGTGATTGATAAAAACCTTGTCCCTATCCGATATGATGGACCTAGGGAAGCCATGTAAGTGGACTATTTCTTGTATGAACGTCGCTGCGACTCCCTTGGCAGTGAATGGGTGATGTAGGGGAATGAAATGAGCCAACTTGCTCAATCTATYGACAACCACGAGTACGGTGTCATTCCCCTGGGATTTAGGTAATGCCTCCACGAAATCMATGGTCAGGTCTTCCCATATCCGGTCTGGGAGAGGTATGGGTTGTAGTAGCCCTGCTGGAGCTAGTGCCTCTGTCTTGTTTCTTTGGCATATCTCACACTCATTAACATACTTTTTAACATCTTCTTTCATTCCAGCCCAATAGAGTTCGCTAGTCAACTGCTTATAGGTTCTCAAGAAACCCAAGTGACCCCCTAACACGGAGTTGTGGTACATATGCAATATGGCAGGAATAAGAGAAAGAGGACTTTGAGAGTACCAACCTGTTCTTGTAGTATAAGGTTCCTTGTTGCAGACGGAACTTTGTCATATTCTCCGGATCTTCAGTCAAACTAGCTATCACTTGGGCCAAGTGGGGATCGACTGCTACTTCTTGTCGAATGATCTCTGTATCGATCACCGCGGGGGCTGATAGCATTGCCAATTGAGGAGATTCCGACATTCGAGATAGAGCATCCGCCGCCTTGTTTTCCAGCCCTGATTTATATTGTATTTCGAAGTCATATCCCAGAAGCTTAGAGATCCACTTTTGATATTCAGGTTGCACTATCCTCTGCTCTAGCAAGTACTTCAACGCCTGTTGGTCGGTTCAGACAACAAACTTCTGTCCCAACAGGTAGGGCCGCCAGTGATAGCTAAAACTACTGCCATGAGTTCCCTTTCGTAAATCGATTTGGCCTGGTTTTGCAGTGACAGTGTATCCCTCCAGAAACAAAGACCACCTAGACAATTTGACCTTTCACATTTGATGTTAACTTGACATTCTGCTTATCTCCGACATTTTCTTTTCAGTTTCAATTGTCAGTAGCATCTTGAAACATCTCATGATATTACTAATTGGCGATCAATTTCTTTGATAACAGCATTATCATGTTCTCAAGAAACAACCTTCTTAATTAATAGGTTTCTCACATTCTCAACCTAGTTTTTTATTGTATGTCAGCCTGTTCAAGAACCTGAAAAGATAACCCAAATAATTGTAGAAGCGCTGGAAATTACTGGGCAGAGAGGCATCATCAACAAAGGCTGGGGCGGTCTTGGAAATTGTAAGTTTCTGAATTTCTCTCAGTATGTTCTACTGACACATCATATACGATTGTAACTAGCACTACATATGCACTCCCCTCCCCTGAAATTTTGTTGCTTGGAAAATATAGCTTTTGGGAGATTTGATTTATTTAGCTTAAATTTTATTTCTTCCCAGTGGCAGAACCGAAGGACTTTGTGTATTTATTGGACAATTGCCCTCATGATTGGCTATTCTTACAGTGCAAGGCTGTGGTGAGTCTGCATAGTTACAGTGCAAGGTTCTCCTTTTATTTGAAAATGATCATGTATCTGTACAAATAAGAGGTCTTCACAAAGTAAGGTTCARGGATACATATCCTTCACCTGAAAGAAGCTGAGAAAACAAATAATCTGCCTCATTATTTATATTCTTGTTTCTTGTTTCTTTATATTTTTTTTTCAATTCAAAAAAATATTCTTGACCATTTTCTTGAGGAATTAGAATGGTGGACCTAGAATGGAGATTTATGGATCAAGTTGTTTTGTTGGTGGAAAGGCCATCATGATGATTCAGAACTAATTGGTGTGGCTTTTAGCTTGAACRAGTTTGAATGGGGGGTCCGAAGTCATAGTTGTCTCTTGTAAAAAAAAGTTCTAGGTGTTGGCATGTTTCGCTTGAGCACATTCTTTTTATGTATTCAGACCTGAAGTTGTGAGTTTCCTTTTTCATCTAATCAACAATACAATATACTAATCAAGAACTTCGATTCAATAATAAGCTAAACAAAGAGGTGGGAGTATAGTGAAAAATTAATGTGGAGCTTTCAGCCAAATTAGTTGAGGCAGAATGCCGAACCTTCCTATAGGTTAATGCACATGCAAATAAGTTAGATATATGGTTGTGAACGCCTTATTAAATTTTGTTCAGATTACCTTCTTTTCATCCAAAAAAATCACTTACAACAGCATACTTGGCCCCAGAATTCGGAGATGAAGATTTCTGGAGAGGTGGGTTGGAAATTTGAGAGAAGATGCAGATAAATTTGTGGGTTGAATTTTGTGGCTTAGCTTGGGTTGATAAAGGTCTGAAGAAGTATGATGTAATAAAACAAATTTGAAAAAAAAAAACTCAAGTTGTATTAGTAAATGAAGAAAATGAAAATGTATAAAGGATTGGGAGATAGGGTATCCGCCCAAACTCAAGAAATTAAAATGGATTTTTATTTTGACAGGAAACAAAATATTTCATTGATGTGAGGAAATATTACCAAAGATATGGAAAAAACAAACCCAAGCTATAGAGGCCTAATTTGCCTAAGGATAGCTGGCTCATTTAAGCAGGAAAGTTACAAATTTTGCTGGAGAATCTGTTCTACCCTTTTTTTTTCCTCTTCTTCTTTTTTTTGATAGGAAACTTGAGATATGTAATAATCACACAAAAATGGAATAAGCTACGGGCTTGGGTCTGTAATTTTGACCGTGATTTCAAATAACAGAAGGTTCATAAATACGTGTGAAGTTTATCAATATTTTTTTTCCTTCTGTAACTAAAAGGTTGGATATTATATAATGTATGCTATGACTATTTGCATATTGACTACGTTTGCTTGTTTTTAACCTGTTTCCTGCATCTAAAGGGTTTCCCCTATGTTGTATCTTGTTTACAGGTGCATCATGGTGGTGCTGGAACAACAGCTGCCGGACTAAAAGCTGCTGTAATGGCTTCACGTTGGAAAACTTGTCTTTTCGGTACCGCATGATTGATTTTTGCTAACTTTCAGTCTTTTTTTCATTGTAGTGCCCTACAACGATCATCCCTATTTTTGGAGATCAACCATTTTGGGGTGAGCGGGTACATGCTAGAGGAGTTGGTCCTGCACCTATCCCAATTGATGAGTTATCACTTGACAAATTGGTTGGTGCTATGAAGTTCATGCTAGATCCAAAGGTAAGTTTTGAATGGTTATGCTGATGCCTATGATGCCTATGCTGATTTTTTTTTTTCTTTTCCAGAAATCGGAACTAATCAAATTTGAATGACTTTCAAGATGCAAATTATTGATTATCTTTGCTTTTATTTAATTAATTAATTAATCTATTTGAACTCTTAGTAGGAAAATATGAAAAGAATAAGATGCTGTCGTAGAAGCTTTGCCCCTTGTTTTACGGAGATTGTTATGAACTTATGTGTCATTCCAGGTAAAAGAGTCTGCGCTCGAGCTTGCCAAGGCCATGGAGAAGGAAGATGGAGTAGAAGGAGCTGTGAAGGCCTTCTTTAAGCATTATTGTCCAAGAAAGACCGAACCAGAGTCAGAGTCAGATGAGCCAACCGTTTTCTCTATACGTAGATGTTTTGGTTGTTCTTGATTCTATGCCGTGGGAATTATCCTCGACGCGACTCTCTATTACGACTTTCTGGTAATAGAAGATGGCATGTCCCTGCTGCGAAACATGGGCAAATGTCCTGAGCAGTGATATGTTAGAGGTAAATGCTTATACTGTTGATAATCTCAATGATTGATGCATATTTTTATTTGTTGTTATCAGTATTCTTTTTAATTCATCTCTTCCTGACCTTTAAATGTATATTTTTTTGAGCCCTTTGTTGGTTTTATTGTAAAGTAGATATATGCAGGTTTATTAGGTGATGATGGTGTTTTCATCTTTTATGTTTCCTAAACAATGGAGTTGATTGATGCGGGAATGGATAACATTTGTGTTAGTTTGTGGATTTGGTTATCCTCTTTTGAAGTGGATAGAAAGATTTGAATTCTAGGGAAATTTATTAATTATAAGAAATTTTTGTTGAGGCACATTTTTTTTAACTCATGCATCATAATCATATAGGGAAGTTTATTAATTTAAGGAAAATTTTGTTGGAGCAACTGACATTCAAAATCTTCTTTCACATGATTATATCTCTGAGTTCAAATCTCCATGAATTTTCTTTCATTGTCCTATTTGATAATTATTTCCRGCTTGTTTGATAAGTTTTTAGTTTTAAAAAACAAAAATTAGATATGTGTGATAACTGGATTTTGTTTTTGGTTTTTAAGAAACAAAAAATCAAAACTGTGATTGACAACCAAATTTTGTTTTCTATTTCTAAAAAGTTAGAAAGTTGAAACTATAGGTTTAAGAGAGAAAAATCTATGGAGTAGAGATGACAACAGTAATGTCCTGCCCCATTCTCGTCCTCATTAAAATTTTTAATTCTTGTCTTCACCATGTTTTTTGATTATAGGAATCGAGGTCGAAGTTGAGGATTCCTCATTTGGAGATGGGATCTTCACGTGACTGGTTTAATAATTAATTTTAGATTTTTAAGATAAAAAGTAATAAATATATATAATTCATATATATTTTACTGAAAATTTATTATTATTAGTATAAATAATTAGCTTTAAAAAATATTCAATATTTTTTTCATAGCAAGACAATTAATAAAATATATATTAGTTACTTAAAAAATGGAATTGGGAACAAGGTCGGTATATGGTGGGATATGCCTTCTATATTCTTAAAGTGGAGATTCGAGCCCGCAAGAGTCTCATTTCTAATGTAGATACATAAAAATAAAAGTTTGGAAAGATAAAAATAAAATTTTGAAAAATCAATGTGAGAAAGAGTAAATTTTTTAGAGAGAAAAAAAGTTGTAGACAAAAATTAGTGAGAAAAGTTGATAAAAATATAAAGTTTCAGGGGGAGTAAAGTTGAGGGGAAAAAAAACAAATTTTAGAAATAAAAAAAAATCATAGCGAGAAAAAAGTCAGACAAAAGAATGTTAGAAAATATATTTGTTACAAATAAATTAATAAAGAAAAATATATAAAAGAAGTTGTAGTAAATGAGAATTGAACCAGAAAAATGTAGATAAAAGACAAATTGAAATATATATTTATTAGAGAATAAATTATAAATATTCGAAAAAATATTAATTTTTTAGAGAGAAAAATAGGAGTGATGTATTAATAAAAAAGAAAGAAATAGATATAGAGATAGAAATTTTGAAGAGAGCGGAAAATAATAATAACTATTTTAGAGACGATAATTTTAGAGAGGGAAAAATAAATTTGTTAGAGAGAAAAATTTATGTRAGGAGAAATTTTAAAGTGAAAAAATAAATTTATTAAAAATAAGTATGTAAAAGAGATAAAAAAAAAGTTGAGCATAAGAATGAAAACCAAAATTTAAAAAACAGAAATGCGTTTTTAAAAACTTAACTGACCTAATATCGTATTAAATGTAATTCGGTAAAAATATTATTCGGTATATTGCCCCAAAAATAACTAAGGTTATTTATACAAGCGAGAATAACTGAAAAAATATGCCAATAAAACTAACTAAATAACATAACTAACTCTTAATAGATTCTACCTGTCTAGGTTGAGATTATTCTCGGAACCGAAAGAATCGTTTACGTGGCAATCTCCCATTCCACCTAAAACATCTTTTATCATAATTTGTCTCTCACAAATACGAGTTTGGGTAATTCTTTTTCATTATAAATTATCTCTTAAAAAACAAAATACTTAATCTCTCATCATTGAATAAAGTCATCTTTTTTTTTCAACCTGCGTACTGTGCATTGTCTTCCTTGTTCAAGCCAAGATGGAGATGAGGTGTAAAGTTAGTGAGAAAATAGTTGGATGCTTTTAAATTTAGATGATTCTAGTTTTATTAAATTTAAAATATCCCGATAACTTAATTAAAAAACCTAGATTAACGAAATAGAAATATCCTAATACGATCGACATTTTATCAACATATCTTAAATTCATGAACATAAATGAAATCGACAACTTTTAAAGTGAACCACTATTTTACAAGTCATTTCAACCGATAGTTGATAGAAGAGTAAATTAAAACTAAATTTAAAATCTARGAGAAAAAATAATTTTTTAAAATTTATTATTATTATTATTATTAGTATTTTAATACGTCATTGTATTTTAATTTAATTTAATTATATATTAATGAAATAAAATTAAAATTTTAAATATTATAGATATTTATATAGTATAGATATCGATAACCAACTTTAAAACTTTAGGTTTATTTTGTTATAATTCCTTTTTACTCGAGGAAAAGGATTGGAGTAAGAATAAATACAGAAAAAGTTAGAAAATTTGTTTCRTAAGACAACAATTATTTACTTCGAAAAAGGGCTAAGGGTGCCTGCGGTCTCGAGACTCAGAATCATAGTATTATTTCCGGTTTCGGTCTGAAGAACTGCGATTTTTGCAATTCTCCTATCTCAGAAAGCTTACTCTCTTTCTTAGATCCTGTAACTACTGTCGATTGAYGTGGATTCTGCACCAACTGGTCATAATTCTGCAAATTTACGGCCAGAGAAACTTGAAGTTTTCAATCTTGTTGGGGTTCTTCATCAATTGAGTGAGTTTTTGGCTGTTATTTGGGAACCCTAGATTTTTCAATTGGGATTCTTATGTGATTTGTGCTATTTTTCTTTTTGGCGGTTTTGTAGATTTTTGTGGCTAAATAAGGAGGTGGGAAAATGTCATTCGATCTGCTGCTGAAGCCGTCGTGCAGTGGATGCGGGTCCTCGACGGATTTGTATGGGAGCAATTGTAAGCACATGACTTTGTGCTTGACCTGCGGCAAAACTATGGCTGAGAATAAGGGCAAATGTTACGACTGTGGCGCTACTGTAACTCGCTTAATAAGAGTTCGTCTTCTACCTCGTCTTTATTAAGGAACATGGTGATTTCAATATGTTAAATTCGTACTCATGTGATTAGGATTTTTATTTACGACAGRTTTAAGAATTTTCATGTCTGTCTTCTCTTTCTGAGAGCGCTGATAATATTTTAGGAATACAATGTTCGAGCAAGTGCAAGTAGCGACAAGAACTACTTCATTGGTAGGTTCATGAGTGGGCTGCCAAACTTCTCGAGGAAGAGAAATGCTGAAAATAAATGGTCTCTTTACAAGGAAGGTCTTCAAGGACGCCAGCTTTCTGATGCCTTGCGGGTACTGAGTTAACTTCTATTTTGCATTCCTTTTAAAGTTTGTATTTGGATAATTAATTGTTTCGAGAGCTTGATTCCTTTAGAAGCTGTTTCTGTTGGGGGAAAATAGGAGCAAAAGAAATTGAGGCTATCCCCCGGCAAAATGAATTGGAAATACACCTTCTTCTTTAACAAGATTGGGAGTTGCAATATTACCTTGAAACAAAGGCTTAGGAAATTTATAGATTTGGAGTCTCGTGCACTTTTTTTGCCACTTCGTGAGCTTCTGCCTCATTGGAATACAGAAATACTTGCTATTTGTATTAGGCTGCACTTTGGTGTTTCATATGGCTTACATATGAGTTGGACGTGGACCATGTAATTGTGTGTTTTGTACTTCAATATTTATATATTGCTCTGTGTTGTTAATCATAATTCAGCTTTGACCATGGAGATGTATTTGGTTGATTTCTTGTTGTATTTATCTTTTTATTGTTTCTTACTTCAAGTTAGTTGTTTTGTGGCTTATTTCTCTTCTCTTCCTTTTTCCTTTTTAAATATTATTTGCAGTGTCCTACTTGACCCTGATTAATTATTACTCCATGAACATAGGAGAAATACAAGAATAGACCCTGGCTCTTGGAAGATGAAACGGGCCAATTTCAGTTCCAAGGACATCTTGAAGGTTCACAGTCAGCAACATATTACTTGCTTGTATTGCAAGGGAAGGAATTTACTGCCATTCCTGCTGGTTCTTGGTACGAGTGAACTTTGAGTCAGTTTGCTATGAATCGAGCTGCAGTCTTTTGTTGTTTGACTTAAGTTTTCTTCATACATGGTTATTACATTTTCAATTTTCGAATGATTCTATATTTTTTGTGAGACAATGGTTCTATTGGATCCAAACACGATGTMAAATTTCAAGTCAGCCATGGTGACAAGGGGATAACTAACCTCAATTTCCAGGTACAATTTCAACAAAGTGGCACAGTATAAGCAACTTACGTTGGAGGAGGCAGAAGAGAAAATGAAGAATCGAAAGAAAACAGCTGATGGATATGAAAGATGGATGATGAAAGCTGCAAGTAATGGTCCTGCTGCTTTTGGTGAAGTCGAGAAGTTTGATGACAAAGATGCTGTTGGTGCTAGTGGTCGGGGGCGCAGGAAAACTACTGGTGATGAGAATGAAGGTAATGCCTCAGATAGGGGAGAAGAAGATGAAGAAGAAGAGGCGGCAAGGAAGAACAGGTTGGGCCTCAATAAAAAGAGCGGCGATGATGATGATGAGGAAGGTCCTAGGGGAGGTGACCATGACATGGACGATGATGATATTGAGAAAGGTTATATTTCTTCAAATAAAAAGAAGACTTTTTCTAAAACTTTTATTTACTTATTTTAAGGTTAAGTGCTTTTATCATATCATCTCTACCTCTATGGAAGGTCATTTGCACCATTTGWTTGTTTATCAGATAGTAGGCCATCATATGGGAATTAATTGCATCAATCGTAGGGTTTTATGTTGTGGATGTAAATGGGTTAGCAAATTCTTTTGTTCTTATCCAAGAGATTCAAATTTTCACTATGCATTTTCTCATATTCAAACATGTGAAAATTTTCTTTTAATTTGCATGAAGAGCATTAAGTCCACTGCCAATATTCCTTTACGTTAATGTGACTGTCTAACCTTTTAGGAGATGATTGGGAGCACGAAGAAATTTTTACTGATGATGACGAAACTACTGCTCCTGATCGTGAAGAAAGGGAGGATTTGGCCCCCGAGGTTCCGGCACCTCCAGAAATCAAGCAGGTTGTCTAGCGCTTATTTGGAAAAAAAAAAAATCTCACTGATACGTTATTTGTACAATTCTACATATTTCAACAGTTGAAGTAATTGTATATGTTTTACTCCAAAAGTGTTGAAAAAGGTGGTAAGAAATGAAGCTAATGCCGGATGGGGGACGGGAAACAGGAACGGAGGAGGGAAGACTTTTATTAGTGATCATAATTTTTGTTGGAAGTAGAGTCTACAACCATCATTCACATGCACATATGGGAGTGATTAGATGAAAACAGTATATTGGAGCATTTTCCATTGGGCGTTAATTTTTCATCTGCTGATATAAGTGCAAATGTAATTATGAAACCCGTCAGATGTTTGCTATCAAAAGAGTAACTTCAGGATTCTAGAATTCTTACCAACAGGATTTACAACCTGACCTTAAAATATGGAAAGTTAATTGATTAGGAAAAGGAAAAGAGCAAGATGTACAAGGATGAGAATATATTTTTGGCTTGGAAGTTACTTATTTACTGAATGGTGGTCATGGAAGTTCTCTATTATTATTTTATTCTTGGTCTTTCGTGGAATATGTGCTATGCTAGAGTCTTCAATTTTTATTATTCTTTAATTATACAATAGAACATTTCTGAAGACGTATGGGGTATGTTCTTCTCCAAGGACCTACGGGATGGCCAATTTGATTCTCAATGCGAAACATCGTCGACATTTTTGTGGTTTCACTTGGTAGTGGTGGAACTGGATCCCCCCAATATACACTTTCTCAATGTTTGATTTCCGTCGACCTTAAAAATAACCAAGAGTTCTGGTCTAACATGTTTTATTGTCTTAAACTTTTCCTGAATATATAAAGATACAGATGGTTTTTGTTCTGTAAATTCTTATCTCACTATGCAGGATGAAGACGACGAGGATGAAGAAAATGAAGGGGAGGGTGGTCTGAGCAAATCTGGAAAAGAGTTGAAGAAATTGCTTAGGCGTACTGGAGGTCTTAATGATTCAGATGGAGAGGATGACGACGACGATGACGATGTAAGCTCTTGTGATTCCTGTTAATAGTACTTAACAGCATGATCCAAACCTTTAAATAATGACCTACAAGCACTTTGTTGCCTGGAATCTGTGTGAATTGCGSTCAATAATTTGTCATGGTATCTTTATGCAGTTTGAAGAAGTGTTATTTGATTATGTGTTATGCTGCCCTTTCTCTGATAGGACTTTCTTTAGCGACAAAGAATACCTGATTGTATCAGTATTTATATATAATCCTCTGTTTATTGTGATACTGCCTGTATGTTTATGTAATTGTTAAGTGACTTTATACTTTTTATTTGTTCAGGTGGAGGAGGATATTGGTGGCACCCCAGTTGTGGCTTCGAAGCAGAAGGATACAGTTAAAGAAGAAGCTGCAGCCAGCAGTCCCTCAAAGCCTATACCTTCTGGATCTTCTAAGGGAACCCCGTCTTCTACGAAGGCATCCAAGGGGAAAAGAAAATTAAATGGCGACGATGTGAAACCATCTAATGTACCTCCGAAGAAAGTGAAAACCGAGACGGTATGCCATGTTTTACCATCATCTCATGGTTTAAGCTCCGAGAAATGTACTTTTTATTTGTAGTATAAGGATGAGCTGGCTAAGTCATTTTCCGTGGTAAACAAASATCTCTTATGGTATTCAGGAYTCGAAGTCTACAGACGAGGGTGTGTCTACATCTAAAAGTACGGCCTCGAAAGGTGCACCGGCATCAGTCAAAACAGAATCGGCATTGCCTTCTGGACCTGTTACTGAAGAAGAAATCAGGGCTGTTTTGCGGCAAAGGACTCCTGTGACTACACAGGATCTTGTTGCAAAATTCAAAGCAAGACTAAGGTCTCAAGAGGTATGTAGCGTCTTTACCGTATGTTTTACATAAACTGTTCTTTCTTTCGGTGGGTTATGTGTATGAAGACCAACTCTGCAAATCACAATGTCAATGAAACAAGTTACAGTTTCTGGTTGGGATGCTGTTTAAGACGGATGTTATATCGTTCATCTTCGGAATGAACGCTGAGAAATTTAACGGACCATGGAAATTTTCTGATGCCTTATTCATCCCATGATATGCAGGACAAGAATGCATTTGCAGAAATACTGAGGAGAATTTCAAGGATCCAAAAGACTAATGGAGGACCAAGTTATGTTGTGTTGAGAAAACCTGAAGACTAGAAGAAGATTTCAATTTATGCTTCTTTTTGATGCAGCTGGTTCATGATTCCCATCTGGTTGGTGGGTTACGGCCATCAAAATGTGTATTTATTTACTTTTTCGATACAAAGGATAAATTTGTGACCTTGAAAGAGGCATTCGCTGTTGGAATTTAAGTTGCAAGAGATTTGTCCACATTAATTAAGAAACGAAATATTCCACAGACCCTTTGTCATATTGGTTGTCATATTGATTTCCTCATTTTTTAGAACGTRTAAAAYAATGGAAGTTATATAAAAAAAATGTCATTATCTTGGTGTTTTTGCTTTTTAAAAATTTCATTATTAAAGTTCATCAGAAGTTCTTGTTTTGGCGACGGTGAGGAGTTTCAGAAATCAAATGTGCAAGTTATTTTTGTTGTAACAACTTAAAAGGGCCMACAATAACTCTTGATTAGATATAGATGCTTTCATTGGTTGATTTAGGTTCAGATTTTCTATATTCCAATTTTAAATCAAAATAATGTTTCAAGAGTTTTTATCTAAATTCGTATTTCTCGATAAATGTGATTTGTCACACTTCCATACTAATAAAATAGGATAAATTACGATTTTATCATTGAGTATTTCATCCTACAAAATTGGGTTTAAATGATTGCTTATTTTAATAGCTTCTTAACTTTTTATAGAAAGTTCATGAGATTAATAGGTACGTCTTTTTATAGTGTAGCGACCTATTACAGGTGATATTTATCAATATTTACATAATTACATCTCAAAATTGATAATAAGAGGAGTAATTTATGTATCTTATAAATCTTGTTAGGTCTCTTGATTTTTTTGGTGTAGGATCTTCAACAATATTGAGACTTCARAGATCTATTAGACATTTTTTAAAGTTCAAAGATGAATTGGACATAATATTGAAAGTTTACTTTAACCGATAAAATATCATACGGAGAWGCTTCTTTAACACACTTATAAATGGAAAAATTTATGGTACAACAAGAATATGGATATTCTTTTTCTTCATTGCACGACACATCAGCRTCGTGTTAAATAGAATATGGGGTTCACCAACGTTAAAGATTTATTTTATAAAGATAAAATTATAGTGTGAATAAAGAAAGTATGATACTCCTGTAATTTATTTATTTTTTAATTACATCTCGCATTTARTTAGGCTTTGACCAAGCAAAAGAAATCAGAATGAAAGTTTAGATAAGTACACATAGGACTCAAAGCCCAACATTACGTTATTGCTTTAATTGAATCAAGTATGGTTGCTTAATAATTGAAGTGTTCAAATTTTGGCGCGTGGCTGAGAGAATATAATATAATCTATTYGAGAGGGCACGTGTCCGACGACGATTGGAGAGACAGGGAAGAGAGTTATGCGATTGGAGGAGTGATATGGGAGAGGAGGTTCCCATCTGCATGCAAGGAATGGGAGAAAAGTGACAAAGTTGCAGCTGCACATTCACCACTGCCCCCCTTTTTACTCCCATAACCATTTTTAGATAACCACAACCCTCGTCACGAACCGAGCCTTGCTCGCTCTCGGACAATACTTTCCTACTGACTGAATGACACGACTCAGAGAGAGCGGTAAAAATATTTAGTGGTGAGTATGAGTTACTAAGGACTTCCTCTTAATTCGTCTTCTATGAGGAAAAAGTTAGAAGGTAAGATTTTGGAAGTTTCTGAGTCGGCCCTGACATCGGCCATCSGCATGCTCAGAAGACACACCACACCGATCAAGAGAGAGTGAGGCAAATGGGTTGATGTTAAGAAACAACTAAAAAGTAAAACAAACAACTTTTTTCTAAGTTGCAGACCAAGTTGAAAGTTGAAACCACTGACTAAACAAAACAAATCTGACTTACACTCCACTTTCTATCTCCAAAATTACATCTTTTTTGAACTGTGGAAGCCAAGTTTGGAACCAAAGGAGAGACAGAGAGGCAATGAATTATGTTGGGTACATAAAATCTGGATTGGGAAATGGAATCTCTGTCTCTGTCTCTGTCTCTCTCTTATCTCTTCTGTTCCCAAGCCCATGCATCCATCTTTGCCACCAAAGCACTTTTTTTTTATAATTATTATGCAAAAGGAGTAATAGAGTTTGCACATTTTCCAACTCTTTTTAGAATTTAGCTTCTCAACTCTTTTTTCTCTCTTTTTATCTCTTTTTTGTTCACCAAAAAAGTCAGCTTCCCATAACTCTCCTCTTGCTGCAGCCTTCTTATACAAACAACTCTCCACTTCCCATACTTGTTCTTCAATTTCTTGAAAGGTGGTTTTTTTTCCTTCTTCTGAGAAGTGGGAATTTTTTGTTTTTGATGGTAAACTTAACTTGGCCCCATTTTGGTTTTGGGTTTTTGGTTTGCAGGCATATGGAGGATGAGGAGAAGGTTTCACAAGTGGGAGAAAGCAGCAACTTTGAAATGGAACAAGAAGAAATCCCATCAAGAGTCTTCCCCTGTTTGTTCTGTTCAAGAAAGTTTCAAAGCTCTCAGGCCTTAGGAGGCCATCAAAATGCTCACAAGAAAGAGAGGACGGCGGCGAGGAAGGCGAAGCGGATTTCCGGCTACGCCCCGACCAATTTCCCGTCACCGTCGCCACCGCCACCGCCACCACCGCCGCCGATCTTTGCAGCTAGTCATACAGGGCTGTGGCCACCTCCAATGTACATTGCTGCTGCTGCTGCTGCACATGCTTCCCATTATCATTGTTTCCCAAATAATCAGATGCTGTGTGATGGCTTGGGAGCTGCCATTGGAGCTGCTCCCAAGTTTGAGAACATGGTTTATTATGGTAGTAGATATCAACAATTTGGGGAAGATGAACAAAATGTGTTGAATTGGCAGAGAAGCATGAAGAAAAATGTTAGTAGGATAGATCATGATAAGGAAAAAGAGAAAAAACTTGATCTTTCTCTCCATCTATAGAAGCTTAATTACAAGGTCTCTTGTAGTTGTGGTAGATTGAGGTTTTTTTCTTTTTTTTTTTCTTCTTTTTCTGTATTGGGGTTGAATTTTACAAAGTTTTAAATCAATTTTGTTTTACAAAGTCTCTTGTTTGTYTGTATTTCTTAGTTTTGCAGATGCGGCGAATGAGGGGCTTCCTCCAAAATGCACTTTCCTCACTCACAGTCAATTATCAAAAGTTTCAATTCAAATGAACACAGGTGAGAATTAATTGACTCAAACCAAGAGGGTGTGAGTTCTGGTTTGAGTCCAATACTCCACCTGTTGTGTATTAAAAAAAAAGTATCAAATATTTCAGACCTCAAACACACATGCTGTTCCTATGTTTTAGCTTCCGTAGGTTAGCTGTTTGCCACTGTCACATCACAACCCAAAATTTAACTAACAAGTTATGTCGATGTTTTATTAATGATATTAACAACGAAACTAAATAGAAGTATTAAAGTTTTGAGATCTAAATAAAATTTATTAACGTTTAGGGATTGAATAGACACGATGTTGCGGCTTCGATAGCTACACCTATTACCTTCCTTAAAAATGAATGTTGAATCTTCCACTCTTGCAACAAAAGGCATAGTTTTAACACATTGAGATTTGACCAAACTTTTCTATTTTGTTATAACCTTTAAGCTTGAATCAAGAAAATGGGTTGGGTTCATTTGGGCCATTGAAGTGTATAGTTAAGAGGAAGCCCATCCACTTTCAATCTTTTGGGCTCTTTTCATTGAACTTATGGGCCATATTTATGGGCCTTTTTTTCTTTTTTCTTTTTTCCATATTCCATTTAAATCCATTAGGGAGATGCGAACCTAGATTCAGAATAAAAGTATTAATTAATTAAACCCACAAATTTCGCAGAGTAGCCCGCAGCCAATCAGTTGACCAGAACTTTTTTTTTTTCTTTTTTTCTTTCATTCACATTGTTAGTTAGTTTTTTTGTTTTATTAAAATTATGAATAAATAATTCCCCGTCGCTTTATTACTACTTTGACTCTAAAATTATAAATTTTAATTCAAATTTATGTAGTCTTCATACGCTGATAATTATAGTAACACCTCTACATTTCTTTCCTTCTTAATGTATTTTGAATTATTTTGTTTATAACCAATCATTCCCGTAATCTTTTAAGAGTTCAATATTAGAGACCATAATAAAATTGAAAAATTAAATATTTTTTTTAAATATTATAATTCAAAAGGAGAGATTTTGAATATCTAATTAACCTATAGTAGAAATTACTAAGGCTAGCGAGAAAGTTATTAAAGTCTTACTATACTCGGCAACTATAAAAATGATTCCATAGTCAGCGATTGTTGGAGCATGTGAAAAAAAGTAAGAAGATTTTGATGGTTATGAGCTCTCGAATGACCCCATATTGACCCCTCTATTTAGAATGTTAAAAATTTCACATTTTTCTTGACAAACAATTGTTATAGGGTTGTGATTATTCTATGAGATCAGTTGAGGTATGCATAAATCGAATAAAAAGACTTGTGAAAATATATCTAAAGAAAAAAACTTAACTTTTTTGGGTATTGTTCATTTATATCAAACGGTTAGTACAGTTATAACTAAACTATTTAAGACATATATCTCCGACTAAAAGATTGTGTATTCGAATATTCTAAAAAAACTTAATTCGAGGTCTACATCATCACTTAATTCATTATTTTATATGGTGGGTCCCACATTTCTTTCATCATCAATTGATGAAACAACTATTTGTGAAAAACAAATATAATAAGAAAAAAACATAACAATTTTCTAAATAGTTGCCGAGTTATATTTTCACTGATTTCTTTTATCTCAAAAATAAGGGAAAATAAAGACTCTTATTTGAAAACTAGCTCTCAACTCAAACCAGAAATAAGCAAAAATGAGATTTATTTATTTATATTTTGTATCAGTGATAGCAAATTGGAATTAATTTGGTTTAAGCATTTCTTGGGGTTATAAAGAGTAATAATTTCACGTATAGAATATGTGTAATCTTGTCTTTTAATTAAGACCCAATTAGATTAAAAACTTACCAATCACAATCCGCCATTAACCAAGTACATAGCTAGGCATTAAAATTAATAAAATTAATTATGCACGTATACTATATGGTTTAATTAAATAATTAATAATATAAAGTATGGATTTGCATGGCGGTCGGTCCATGTGAAAATTATTTGTAACAACAGTGAGATAAGGGCAGCAGATTCCTTCTCACATGGCTCTTAATTAGTGCTTTCTTCCATCCTTTCACGTATCAAGATTCTTATCATAAAAATATATTAACATTTAAATTTTATAATACATAGTATTTTTATCATTAATTTTGTATTTTATTTACCATTCCTTATCCTAAGGTGAACTATTATAATTTTTTCCTAGTGGATTGTCATATATCTTTAATCAAGGTGTGAAACTTCTTGATAAGAAATTTTTCTGGGGAAACACTAATTTTACATTTTTAATATTTATATATAAGCTTTCAATTATGAAATCCAAATGGGGCAAGTTGTGTTTTTTGCTTGGGTAAACTATTTTTTCAATTAATAAAAAAAGGAACACAAAGCGGGCTGGCTTCGATAAAACTTGCATGTAAAAAGAACATAGAAAGTTATTTTGGAAATGAGTATAGTTCAACGATAAATAACATCTACTTCTTTCTGTAAACTCAGAAGTTCAAATCTCAACGCTCCATATACATTGTATTTAAAAAACATAAATAGCCTTTCAGATAAATCTATGGATTGAAACATTGAATATATATAGAGTCTACGAAAGAATGTCAAATTCTAACTTTATTATAATTAAACATAATTAAATGTTTATAATGTTCAATGAACATTTATCTTAAAATAAAATTGGGGAATGTAGAGGTACAAAGTGGTGCTACAAGTAGGGGAGCCAATTATGGCCTTGATTATGGGGTGATATACATTGACTAAAGACAATAACTATTTTTTTTTTTAGTTGGACCTTTTGTGAACTTTGTCCCTTTCATTTCATTTGCCAATCTCCAAAAAGTCTTAGCAACTCATTAAATAACTTCAACTAATTCTTTAATTACCCTATTAAATTCCATATATTATATTTTATTTATAAAATTGTATCGTAAATTAACTCAACGAATTGAGATATTTATGTCCAACCAAAAGATTGCGAGTCCGGATTCTCCCACTTACATCATGTTGTACGAAAAAAATAAATATAGATAATGCATTTATACTAGGTAGTATGTGGAGGAGGGAAGAAATTCAAAATACAGGTATTTATCTTTCTAAATTAAATTGTCGTATAATTTATACACAACATTATTAATATGGATCATCTTATGAATAAATTAAACTAAAATTCTACATCTAGTGCTTAATCTTGAGGCAGTGTAATTATAAATTCATTTTAGTATAAGAATTTTCTTGATGGTGGAAGTTTGAGCCATGCTAATTCCTTTGGTCAATATTACTAATGGGATTTTAGGTAAATGCTGGTTTGGTATGAAATATTAGACTTTTCTTTGAATTTAACTTGTCAAAGTCAAATTCGAAAAGGGGATTCTTTTATTATTATTATTATTATTATTATTATTATTATTATTATCATCGTTTTGCTAACATTATTTCTTAAATTTTTTTTTCAATTAATATTTTCTTTAGTAGTTAAATAATTAAAATATGTTTAATTAAAAGGAGAAGGCCGCGAGAGTATAACTTGAAAAATAAAACTTTCTTAAACTTAGAAAATTAAATGTCTGGTGTGCGGGTTTTATTATAAAAAATTAAACTTTATTTATGAGTTGAACGACGAGCAATAAAAACAAATTTATATATATTATATAAGAAATAAAGTGAAAATTTTTACACTATTATTTTGGAGAGACAAATGAAGTTGACCCATGCATTATCTTAGAAAGATTGGAGACATCACATTTTGTTTGGCACTATATACATTGGATCCAATAATACATCTTGAATATCATATATATAGACAATGCTACCACACCCCTATTAATTTCCAACTTTCATTTTATTTTCATTTCACTTTATTTCTAATATTATAAAGAAATTTTGATTCAATTATTAGAGATCAAATTTGGGTATATGTTTATTTTTTTTTTCCATTTATATGACTAAAGATAAATAGTATAGACCAACTAAAATATTGGTATGACGATATATAAATGTCAAATAATTATGTCTCCATTTCTTAAATTTAATTATGAGGCAGGATTATTATAAATAGCAATGATAGTTTGTACGGTGTACATATATATCTATTAAAATAGAGAAACTCCAAAGAATAGAAAATTGCTTTTGGTATAAGTAATTGTCTTTGAATACTACCACGAACCTATAACGATTAACGAAAACGTATAGGTAAAGAGACTTTCGGTCCTACGTTAGTTATATTTATATAATTGTAAATTTGATGTCATATATATTACCGCACTTTTATTTTAGGTATTTATCGTAAATAGTTTTATATATCACGTGCCTTTAAAGAGTAATTATTTTTCTTTTAAAGAATTATGAACCGTGCATAATTTTTTTACTACTTATGACTTGAGATTGATAAAATGTTCGTCAAGTTAATTATCATTTCATGTTTGATTTTTAGTTGGTTTTACGAATTTAAAAGTCTGAAACTTATAGTATCTGTAATTGGGTTAAATCTTCTTATAAAAATCTTAGAATGTGATAAAAGAATCAATTTAAAAAGTTACGACACGTTTAGGGATGTTCCTCAAATTACAAATTTTTATTCATTTTCTTAGTTAATAGTTACGATACACTATTTTGAATACATTTAATATGAATTAAATTTTTTTCTATCATAGTAGTTATTGTGATGAAAGACTTACAAGAATTAGGGTTTGATAGTTTATTTGTGAAAATGTTTGGATGCCAGACCACACCTAAAATCGAGCTCTAATTGTGCTTACCAAATATTAACAATTAATATTTGTCTTTGAATTCTAACATTTTTTTAATATAGCAAATATGAGAGTGTGATGATTTGAAATCTCCAATTTTAAGAGAAACAAAAGATACTTTTACGCTGAACTATATTCATATTGATTTCTGAGTGTTAATTCATTGTTTTTTTTTTGTCCCGTAATAAAAGAGAGTCATTTTAAGAAATTAAAAAAATGAAAAGAATAAAATTAAAAATTTTAAAATAATAGAGAGAAATTTTATTATTCTCAAACTAATCTTATTCTATTAAAATATCTCTAAAAGAAAATAACAAAATTCGAGTAAAACGTGGCCGTGCTGGCAAAAGGAAAGCGGCGGGAAAAAAGACGGGGCCAGCGGAACCAACGTTTTCTGGGGCACGGCGTACGGATCCAGGCCTGAAAGCCCGCTGATTATACCCGACGAATCCGGGTATGGCCGTACCCGAATCCGAGACACCTGTCCGCGAAGGACCGCCAGCGCCAGATCTACGATACGGACAGTTCGGTGAACTTCACCAGAAATTCCGTTACTTTTCAACATCGGTCACGTGGACACGTGGCGCGTAAACATGGCGAGTGGTTGAGACTTTCCCAACTGTGCGCGTCCATTATTGGGCACTTCAGAATAAGAATTTAATACTATGACGTGGCAGAAGCGGTGGTCCCAGCGATGTGGTGGTCAAGCGCTTTAAAGTTGGCCGAGGTGTCAGAGACTGAGGGGGTAGGCCACGTGATTGACCGACAGATGTGACACGTAAGCAAGGTAAAAAACAGAACAACAGCTTAAAAGTTAGTTAACGACGGTTACTATGGGGATTCGCGAAGTTTTACTAAGATTAACTGAAGTTAGCGCGGTAAAATAACAGTAATAAAGATTTTTACCGCTATATCTATGACCATTTATATTGAATCTTTTTTTTTTTATTTTTTTTTGGGGATTTAAATCATTTTATCGTTTTATGGATTAGAAGTTTGAGTCCCCTTTGCCTAAAGAATAAAGAAAGTTGTAAGGCTAAAAAATAAATTAAAAATAAAGGACGATTCAAATCTATAGTTAATGACCAAAGAAATTGATTACTTGAGATTATTATACTTAAAAATGAATTCCACCCTTTACCAAAAAAAAAATATATATATATGATAATTACCACTAATTTTCATTAGGATAAATAGAAATATTAGTTGCATGTCAACTTATATTTGAAACTAATCAATAGTACAATGTGAGCATAATTAATTTGTAAATTACATCTAGTTTAAATTTCAATACTTAAAAAGAAAGAGAAATTATATTCAGTATGGACTTTTGGAAATGATTGTAAAATATTGAATGTATTTTTTTAATAAAGGATTAAGAATTGCATCTAATAAATAACTTATTATCAAAGAGAAATGACTTTTTATTGAGTAATTCAATATTTTATAACTTCATTTTCACCTTGTAATTAAGTTTTTTGATAGTCCTTTTTGTTTATATGAATTTTTGGTAGTCCTAAAAACATGTTTTAGTCTTTCAAATATGTCAATTTTTGACTAGCAACAAATACATATGCATAAATGCATTCAATTATAATGATTTATTTTATTTTATTAATACTGATTCAATTATTATATATATATATATTTAATCAACATCATAGAAAATTTTAATAAAATTTAATACATTGAGATTTATTACAAGCAACTAAATAATAACACATTAAAGAAATATACAGAAACATTATATTCATATTTGGGAACTATCTAAGTGCCGCAATTTTTATTTTCAAGTTTTTATGGGTTGTTTGATAACCCCTAGGTTTTCTCCAGTTCTATTTCTTATTTTTGAGGAAGAGAAACACCAATGCACGCACTTAACAACAATTTTTTTTTGTTCTTTAGACATTCTTAATGTTACTTGTTATTTAGAAAATTAACAAAAAATAATTAAATTTCAAAATAAATGTTTAAATACATTTTATTTAAACAATACAACATGGATTTGTAGGTTCAAATCTACACCCCTTATTAATGTTTTTTTTTAAAGAACAACATGGATTGTTACATCTTTGAATTTTAGATGATTTTTATATTAAGTCTCTCTCATTAATTTTCATTCATAAAAAAAAAAAAACTCAACATACTTATCAACCAAAATTTCTCTAAGGAACATGTTAAGATTTAGTTAACAATATTAACAGAACCAAGCAAAAGTATAATACAAATTACAAATCGGTAATAAATTTTATCCCTAAAATTAAATGGAGAATAGTTTCAATTTGATTAATCCTAAAATTTTAAATCACTATAACTATTTATTTATTATAGCAAATAGATAAAAAAGAAAAGAATAACTATACTTAGATGTTTATCCGTCAACGTTCATTTATGTTCTAATTACCACTAAAAATTCAAATTTGTTTGTATTTCTTTCTCGTATTTATCAAATATTTTACAGCAGTAAATAAAATATATATGCTGACGGATAAGTAATTTAAAGTGTAAGTATACATGATTTACTTTTAAAAATGGTTTCTTGAAGACGGGGAATACGTACTGAAACAGTTGGGCAAAGAGGAAGGAAAAAGAAAAGAAAAGAAAAAAAAAAGGATATAAGGAGGGCCTATAAAAGGAGATGCTCCACCGCAGTTTTGCTTCTCACTCCATCTCTTTCGTTTTTTTGCATTTCGCATTTAACAACCACTCGCATTTACTCCCTCTCTCTCACTCATACAAATTTACAGATCGAGAGAGAGATTAAGAGAAAGAACAGTGAACTTCTGTAATTTAATCTGCAGAAGAAAACTTCGGGAACCTAACAATGGCGGTTTCTCAGACGCGGTTTTCTGCCGCTTCTTCTTCATTGCTCTTGCTTCTTCTCAACATCGTCTTCATACGATTCAGGTAAATGCTTCATCAATATTCTCATTACTCATTACATCGTGTTAATTTCTCTGCGATTTTTGAGAAAAAAATGCCGTCGCGGTTCTTGAACCTCAGCCGGCTTCACCGACGACGATGATCTGTATTCTCATTTTCCTCTCTCCACATTATTGATTCAATGTTTTTTTTTTGTTTTAGGTTTGTCGGAGCTGACGGATCGCAGAGCTTCAATTCTTCATCAATGGCGGACCGGTCAGTATCACAACTTGGCCTTCTCTCTCTCTCTGTTTTTTTTGGTAGCTAATGTGGGCCGTTCCCCTGGCCGGGCGCGTAATCCAGACCGTCAGATAGATAATCCGGTGGATTTAAAGAGAGAACCATTTTTGAGATCAGATCTGGAAAATCTGGGCCGTACCGGCATCAGTAAAACAAAAAAGAGTCGCACTCTGAATTAATTACTTTCTTTGACTCTACATTTGACCAATTTGCCCTCCGATATTGCGTTTCAACTCTTGCCTATTTTTGGACCTTTTGGTCAAAGGGCTATTTTCACTTCCACGTGTATTTGTTTCACTTCCCTGGGATAAAATTCAAAAGCTGAAAAATACCGAAATAATAAAAACATATGAAAACAGCCTTCCACCGGCCAAGAGTTCCTTTTCTTTCTCTTTGTTCTCTTTTTTTTTTTAGTTACGATATTTTAATTATGTAATTAAATGTTCTAATTTATCTAATGAATCTTTTTTAATTGAAAAATTTCAGGTACATTAAGAATCAGCACGCCGTTGATAATCCAGAGGAAATTGCATCTATGGTTGATTTGTAAGATCCCTCTCCCTCTCTTTCTCATATTTATGACTCTAAGTGAAAGAATTAAAGAAAAAAGATTTTGCTTTTTGCGTAGCATGTGCCATTTTACTCCAAATATGTTAAAGTTTTTAATAGATATTTGAATGAGAAAACACTTCCAATAGACGTTTCTTTCCGTCGTAATAAATACTAAATAGATTTAATATAGGCGACAGAATTTAATGAAAAATACATTTAAAATTTAAAATTATTTATTATTGAACTTCTTTAAAGCTGAGTATTGGTTTCATTGGCTACCACCATTATTATGGATCATATTAGTGTTAATTTTGTTTATTTTATTATTAAAATATATGATTTGGAGGGACCAACCACCACGTTGTTTGCTGCTGCAAACTTCAATCTCTTTCACACAAGCCCATGTGGCGAGATCCACCCGTCACGCTCATAATTTAATTCTTGTCTCTTCCCTTATCCAAACTATGGAAATACATATATAAATGTTGTTAAGAAAACAAAAAAGGCAAAAAAAAAAAAAGCCAGATTTTGGATTCCCCTAATCTCTTTGTAAAGATATGTATCATATCTAGATTGCCCAAAAGCATCTCATTATTTCAATCCCCAAAAAGGTTCTTTGTTTGTTGCCAATCCCCTCTCTCACTCTCTCTGCGTCATTTTCAGCAAAAAAAAAACTTTTAGAACAAATACTACACTTCAATCCCATAAAAATTGGATCAAATTTAATGCCCTTTAGGCGTCGTAGCACGATTACTCAATATGACCACCATAATTAGCCTCTTTTCTAATTTTTGGTTACATGGTAAGAATTTTTGTTAAGTATCTTTAACAATGATTAAATTTATCATAATTCATCGATTCAAACTTTTGGGTTAATGGAGCATTTAACCATTCACTTCTAAAGTTTATTGCTTTGGAATCGAATGCAAATGCATTGCGTGAGTTCCCCACTTGACATTTATTCGAGATCACCATAGTTAAGAGGAGGGAGAATGGCATATAAATGTTTATGTCTTTTGCCTTTCAAAATTATCAGCCGCTAGCTAACCATATTCTCAGATCTGGTTTCGCACAAGAAAAATCTCGTTTTTCTTTTTTCTTTTCTGTTGAATTTATTGAGCAGATGAGGCAGGCCGTAGGCGGCAGCTGCCTAGCATGTAAAACTATACCAATCAATAAATGAAACCACCTTTTCATTTAAAGACACCCCCACCGACACATCAAATTTTAGTCCAATAAAGCAAAAGAACGAATTTTCTGTGTGTTTGTAGCATTAAATTTCCCCACCGAATTTTAAAAACTAAACCAATTCTCCGTATGATCCGTATCCCACATAATCATTGAATGCGAGAAACCAAAATTTACGCCTAATCTCCTTAGTGTTGGAATCTTCTCAGGAGCATTCGAAACAGCACAGAGAGGAGGAATTTGGGATTCTTCTCTTGTGGAACAGGGAACCCAATTGATGATTGTTGGCGCTGCGACCCCCGTTGGCAGCTGCGCCGTAAGCACCTTGCAGACTGCGGCATTGGGTTCGGGAGAAACGCAGTCGGCGGCCGCGATGGGCGATACTACGTCGTTTCGGATCCCGGCGACGACGACCCTGTCAACCCCAGACCCGGCACCCTCCGCCACGCTGTGATTCAGGACAGGCCTCTGTGGATTGTGTTCAAGAGGGACATGGTGATCACTCTGAAGCAAGAACTGATCATGAACAGCTTCAAGACAATCGATGCCCGTGGCGCCAATGTCCACATTGCTTATGGGGCTTGCATTACCATCCAGTTCATCACCAATGTCATCATTCACGGTCTTCATATTCACGACTGCAAGCCCACGGGGAACGCCATGGTGCGGAGCTCCCCGAGCCATTATGGGTGGAGGACAATGGCCGACGGTGATGGAATTTCCATTTTTGGATCCAGCCACATTTGGATCGACCATAATTCTCTCTCTACCTGCGCTGATGGGCTCATTGATGCTGTGATGGGATCCACTGCCATTACAATTTCAAACAACTACTTCACCCACCACAATGAGGTAACTTACTTTATTCAATGACTCAGAGCGTTTTGGTTTCAAATGAGAAAATTGGTCTGAGAATTCCCCTTTTTTTGATAGGTGATGCTGCTGGGTCACAGTGACTCTTATGTTAGAGACAAGCAAATGCAGGTGACCATTGCTTATAACCATTTTGGTGAAGGTCTTATTCAGAGAATGCCAAGGTAGTGTAATGTAACACAATTTGTTTATTTTCAAATTCCTGTGTGCGTGTGTCATAATTGATTCTGTGTAGCCAAAGCCTGAAAATTAAGAGGTGGGACCCTATAATTTAATGTTGCAGGTGTAGACATGGGTATTTCCATGTAGTAAACAATGACTACACTCATTGGGTAATGTATGCCATTGGTGGAAGTGCTGATCCAACCATTAATAGCCAGGGCAACAGATATCTTGCCCCTGTCAACCCTTTTGCCAAAGAGGTATCTTCCCTCTCTCTCTCAATCTCGCAATTTTAATCATGTTTCAAATAGTAAGGAAATACTGATTAATCAATAGGATGATTAAGCATCAAGGCAGAGCTAGAAATTTTCTTAAGCATGGGAAAAATTATATATTTATGTACTTCATGACGAGCTAAGAGGGGGCAACTTGGCTCCACCTTTAGTTGAACAATGGCTGATTAATTCTAATGGTTAATGCGGGAAGGTCACGAAGCGGGTCGACACATCTAACGGCGTGTGGAAGCAGTGGAATTGGAGATCAGAGGGAGATCTTATGCTAAATGGAGCCTATTTCACCCCATCAGGAGCTGGTGCAGCAGCCAGTTATGCCAGAGCCTCAAGCTTAGGAGCCAAATCCTCTTCTTTGGTCGCCTCCATTACTTCTGGCGCAGGTGCCCTTTCTTGTCGCAGGGGATACCGCTGTTAATTTCAAGCCACAGTTAAACAAAATATAAGAAAAAAGGAAAAAAAAGGAATGAAGAAGAAACTCTAAAGATTTAAAAGGAAGAAAAATGCAATTTACTCATCTTTTTCTTCCCTATTATTGTTACAATTATAGCATTATCCCAACGAGTTCGAGCCATCCATTCTGTTTACAACCCACCTTTGTACTTGTCCCAATCAAGAATTGGAAACTGTACATTTTTCTTCGGTTACATATCAATGGCAAATGTTGTAATATCCATATCATTATCTTCCTCTCATTGGTCTTGAATATTTGACAACATTACTTAGAAAGTCAGCTTATAGAAATAGGGAAGGTTATGATGGATGTAAAGTAACGTGACAGAGTTGTCCTCAATCCACATCAAGATTCTTCCACCTAGAAGCATTTTTGTCATAAATTTCACAAAGAAGAGAAAACAAAGCACTTCAAACTACAAATTTGAAAATGATATATCATCATCTCAAAACTAAAACTTACACCAAAAACTTATACCAAAATACTAGTACCACTGTAGGTGCCGTATCTATCATTCAATAAATTTTACGCTAGCAAATGAAAGATCATCTGACAGTAGAATCGTCATTTCACCGAATATCAGCAAGTTTCCTGTTAGTCAGAATCCTCAAGTCAGAGTCGAGTTGGGCTTTGCTTCCAAAGTCATGGGCCAGTTCTCCTTGTCTTCGAAGCATCTAAACTGAGGCTCGGACGCACGTATCCTAGTGGGGAAGACCACGTGTTGCACTTGATTTTATCTACCCTATTACAAATCTAATCCTAAGGCCTATAGTCCAACCCTATCATTCCTTCTCTTTACATTTTCATTTGTGTAAAAAATGTGTGAACTTCAACTCAATAAATGAACAGAATGAGCCTGAAATAAAGATTTCCCTCAATAATTCATGAGTAGATAACAAATGCCACATCCTACACTGTGGACACATGGTGTTAGAGGGCCTATAGTCATGTGTTCATTTCTTATACCTACAAAACAATGTCGTTTTTCTTGCCAACCAGTTTGTTTAAACCACCCATGTTGCAATTATGAGATTCACTTGAGTTGTCACCTTTCGCCCATGTGATCCTAGAAGAGCCACTGAGCTAGCAGTAGCATATGCCCTCATGGTCTTTATTCTGTATAAAGAGTGAAATGAAAGGAATCAGGAAGATAAGATAAGATATTTTGCAAACTTAATAAGTTGTGCAAGTTATCTTATCATCAACTTAAAATACTTGAAAACTCATTAGAAAACGAATTAGCTTGGTAATGATATTAGCATATACGGACTAGATTGCATATTTTCTACTATAGGAGTTGAGCCAGAACATGAAGAGTATATAGGAAAGTCTAAGACTGAGAACTTCAAGATAAAGCTTTGTATGAGCTACAGAAACATGTAAAGCTTTGTAAGGAGTGAGAGTTGTCTCGAAACTATGATTGAGCCTTTGCTGAAATATGCCAGCTATATTGATAGAGGAAAGAAAACTTACAAGCTAACATGCTTCCAAGAGGCCTATGTCTCTCCTCCTCACCAAACCGAGCACCTCCCGACTTGTTCTCGTACCTGTTCTTTCTTAATACTAATGGTATAACATAAGAGGGTCCCCACCTCACGTAAAAACCTCATACTCTCACATATGGGCACCCTTATGATGCATAACTAACTCGGACATCACATAACAAACTTATAGCTTAGGCAAATGAAACCTTCTCCGAAACAGATTGGGTTCACGGGAACAAATTATTGATAGGGGATTGCTTCATCATGAATAAAAATCTCATAGGAACCAACAAATTTAGACTTCCAGCAACTAGATTGAAAGACTAAGTCTAATTCTTAACGAAGCATATCAATTAATAGAGTTAAAACATGAAAATAATTACAAACATTTGATATCTGGAGTATCACCTCAGCAGATAAAATGGGTCATAGTGCATGACACAGAAAAATATAGAGAGGCAGTGTGGTTCGTTATGCTTGTACTTCTCAAATACATGGTATTTACAACCTTCAATTGAATAAGATATCAACCACATCACTACTCTTGCATGGTCAAGCGACCGAAAAATTATACAGCCAACAATGCTGAGGATTGTCTGGATTATGAAGCAAGATTAGTAATGTTAACTAATTAACTTCATAACGATGTAGACTAGGTCGACTGTGGTATTTGACAACTTATGGGGAATGATTATAGGAAATTGATATGAGGTATTTGACACTGGCTTACTGCAGGTGTTGCTACTTGTACTTCTCCATTATTCTTCTCGCTTCTTCAAGAGTCTCCTCTGTGGAGGTTGTGGATGAGGAGGGGGAGCCTCCACCTCCTCTTGGTCCTTCATCTTTATTCAGCGCTATAAATACGAAATAAATTGCTCCCATCATAGCCTGCATCCATACAATCCTTTGTTCGGTCAGTTCTTACCATTTAAATGACTGCAGTCTGCAAGTATGACAACTTCGATGCAGTCATCGACAAAACAATCAGTTTCATGATCAGGCAATCAGAAATCAAGTAACAATTTTCCTATTCGAGTAATCAAGCACTACTAGACAAAATGCTTCCGTCGCTAAAATGCTCACTACCAACTATCATGAGATGTAAATGGTATCATCCCACACTCGATAACAAATAAAAAATTTAAGTGTAGAAGACTTCAACGGATAAATGTACCACTGTTTCTTTGTTCATACCATCACGTGATGCAAATATGACAGACCCAAAATTACACGCTTAATCGAGAAGGAACAATAAGGGGAATATGTGTGCGAGGTCAAAGGATTTAGTTGAGAGGTGAAGCCATGTGCTAGTAGTGCTTAAATCAGTATGGTGATGTGAGGACTACAGCCATCACCAATATCATTTACTTTGGGTTTGTGAAGAAACTAAAATGTTCATTTATTGAGGCCCCCACGCCCAATAAGGTTTTATCATGGATACGGCGGTAGAAATCAAGGAATTTGCAGTTCAACAATCTCTAGAAAAGAAGTATAACTACAAATTGGCTCCTTGTTTTTTGGGTCCTCAAGTAGGTTGTTCAAGTTGCATATGGATAGAAATTGCCACCTACTGCCTTATCCACCTAGTCATCCACATCTTGTAAGTTTGCAAGGTTATTGGTCCAGGGAAGAGTTGCCAACATATCCCTCCCAAGTTGCTTATGACTTAGAATGAGCGGCTGAACTAGAATAGCTCTCCAACTAAGGCAATTGGTCTCCGTTCAAGAATAAGGGGAAATTTTCTGGTACTAGTATGTTAGTCATGCCAGTGGTATTTAGATAATAATGCAGGGACCATAAAATAGAATAATAATTATGTTGTTATGTGTCTAAGTTTGAGGAGGAGCAGATACCATGAAAATACTATTATATATATAAGAAACCGAGCTTTCATTGAGAATAAATGAAAGAATATACTAGGGGAATACAAAAAAACAACCACCAAAAGGGATCCATTTATAAGAAGGAAATCTAATCCAAAAGAATCTAATTGGTAATTACAAAAAGCCTTAGAAACCGACACCCACCTAGAGGTATTAAATCTAACTAGTTCCAAAATTTCCCCCAAGACCTCTCAACCGATGATTTGGAACAAAAAGGAATAGGAAGGGGATGAAAAGTGATATTGGTGAACATGCCAACTGTGATCTTTTTAGTTGGGTTTACCTAAAAAAGTAGTATTTCACCCCTATTTCTGGTTATGAGTCTCATGTCTAGTTGATGAAGCATGAAAAACATTAGATTAAAACTACAGACAATAGACGAGACAACGAAAAAAATTATACTTGTTGATAAAACTCCAAAAACTATTGAGATACACATACTTCCGTGCTAAATATGGTGTAGCAGGAAAAACAACAACAATAGTTCACAAGTAAATGATAGTAAGAGTATTGCAATACCAGCACAAACAAGGCCGTAGACAGGACTGACTTGAGCAAAAAAAGTGCAATAGTTGATGCAACTATTGCTACAGATATCCTTGCTATAGGCCTTGGTACAGAATCCTACAAAACAAACGCACAAATAGACAATTAGTTTATCTATATTGTGTTCTCCATAATCTCTTTCTTCTTGCCACTGAAAAATCATCCGCATTAGATGTTAAATGAACTGAAAATTACGTTTTAAAAGGGGAAGAATTGGATAATAAACAGAAAAGAAAAACTTACAGGTACCAGGCCTGTTCCTGCCTCAATTCCATCCTTACCAATCTTCCAAACTGTCTGAAAGACTGTTCCATAGGATTTATCAAAATTACAACCTCACCATATCATTGTAAAACAGAATAATAGAGTACAAATAACGAATGACGCAGTTCAATTTCAGCCCACTTGACCCAGTTCAAATAACTTATTGAAATTCCAAACAAACCCACTAGAAAACAGCATTGAGGCAAATTCAGAAGCCACAAAAGATGAAACAAAGAAGAAAGTAAGAAAGAAAATGAAGGGTACCTCTCAAGAAATTGTTCTGTGCAGCATATACAAGAGGGAAAGAAGGAGACCCTCGAGCTGTTAGCTTCCGAATTTGCGAATTTGAGAAGAGAGATTGTTTTTTGAGTTTCAAGGAGTTGGGAGGGAGGAACTGGGAATGGGGAAAAATGGGTGGGTTTCTATGGCGGATTGAAGGGTGTGGAGAAATGGAAGAAAAATTGTGAAATAGAGATGAAGAAGCCATATAAAAAGGTGACACTGAAACGATGGTGGAGTTGGAATTTGGAAAGAGGAAGAAGCTCTCAGTTGACTGACTATGGAGAAGCACGTAAATTCTCAGCCTCATAAAACTGAGGACCCACGCCAAGGCTGTGCTTTGTGGGCTTTTTATTTTGGGCCTGATCATTGGGAGAGCCCAACGCAAATCAGCCCATGGTCCAACTTTGTACTTTGTAGGCCTCTTATTTTGGGCCTGGTTTGGGCCTGATCATTGGGACAGCCCAACGCAAATCAGCCCACTTCATATTGGGGAATTTTCCGTAGCTGGCCCTTTGTATTATCTCATTATCAAAACTACCCCTTAAATCTATTAAAAAAAAAGATCTACAAACTTTATATATATAAGGTCAAATATAATATTTTTAGTTGCTAATGTTTGAATATATATATTTTTTCAATTATTCCTTATTATTTTAAAATTTTCAATTTAGTTTCATGTGCATTTAATTTTTTTAAATTATATCATTTATGTCGTTACATGTTAAAATTGACCGATGGTGGACTAAGACTTAAATGACATGATATTTAGAGAAAAAATTGGATATCTAGTAGGAAGTTTTCAACATTCTTCCAAATTTATAAAAAAAGCTGGCGAAGAAGATGGTCTAATCCCTCTTCTCAACTTATGTAAACTCAATATATATAGTGTCATGTAAATGTATCGTAAGCTAATTTTAATAGTGACGAAGAACTTAGAAATATAATCGAATATTTTATAGAAATTTATAGAAATCAGAACACACGTTGATAAAATTAATTTGGATGTATCGTATATATGGTAAAGAATAAAGGTTCTCATTATTTCAAAGTTATGAGTTTCATGAGGTTCATGTTACTCAAAACCTATATCACGACGGCTGCCATGCCACAGCATTTACTAAGGGTTTCCCCTCATTGAATTGCTGCAACTGTCCACCGTCCCCTCCACCTTTAAAAAGGAGGTTCCGATCAGATCACCGCACAGAGGCCGGCCGGAGATGGCGAAAAAGGCGCTTTATATGTTAATGTTGGTTGTCGCTATGGCTGCATTTGCAGTCCAGGCTTCAGCAAGAGCTGCCCCAACTGATCATCATGATCCTGCCGGAGAAGGCCTCAAGGACCAGAAGAACTTGCTCAACTATGGCGGCCTTGGCGGTTTCTCCGGCATTGGGGACAACGGGCTTCCCGTTGGGGGCATCGGCGGGGTAGTCGGGCTCGGTGGCGGCCTCGGGGGACTTGGCGGAGGAGCTGGTGGGCTAGGTGGTCTCGGCGGTGGCATTGGTGGATACGGTGGGGGCGGCATCGGTGGCATCGGAGTCGGGATTGGCGGCGGCGCGCTCGGCGGAATTGGTGGTATTGGTGGTGGTGGAGGATTTGTCAGGTTTCCTTGATCAAGATGGGTTTAATTAGTTTGGTGTTTTGATGTTTTTTTTTCCTTCTCTGGTTTTTTTTGAAGTATTTTGTAATGTTTGGGAGTTCATTTAGGGCATGAGAAAACTTGGTAATGTGTGTGTTTGTTTTATGGATTTAAATATGTTTTTTGTTAAAGTTATATGTTGTTAAAAGCAGTCGTATGTTGGCCTCTGCATAAATTATGTTAGGTTTGAATTTGAGTTTGACTTAGATTTGAATTAATTTTTGTAAATAACGTCTCAAAAAAAATAAGAGAACTCTCAAAATATATAACTCTAATTTATATGAATAATCGTACCCAATTATCACAATAAGTTTGAAAAGTTCATTACATATCACATATTTATTTCAATTTCATAATAAATTAAAAAGTAGAGAAAAACTTTGGAGCGTTAAGGATCCCACATCTTAAAAAGATAAGAAATTTAACAAATGGTTTATAATATAAGTGATTCTACTACACTCCTCTCGTTATTAATTGATTTTGAGATGGAACTCAAAAGAGACGACACTCAAGAAGATATAAAACCCTATAAATATTGATATAAATATTGATATGAATAAGATATTTAACAACCCAATAATAACATTTCTTGATTAAGCTTTGAGCTCCTGCATATTACTCCGTAATAAAAGAGAAGAAACCCCATACTAATTAAAAATATCATTATATTTATTTCACTTCCATGGATGATGTGGTAGAAATTGATTCATGGCTTCACCGATCGAGTAGATTTTTGTTTGATCTTCTACTTAATCGTCGACATAAACTTATTGAAAAAGTTCAATTTTAGATGTTGGGTGATAACAAAAACACAAATTTATTATATCATTCACATTTAATCGGATCGTCTCTGACTCGAGTATCTCCCACAATGGTATGATATTGTTCGTTTTGGGTATATCCCTCACGGCTTTGCTTTTGGTTCCACCAAAAAACCTCATATCAATGAAGATAATAATTGTCCTCTCTTATATCTTCACGATCATTCCCTTCTCTAGTTAATGTGAAACTTTATTTGCAATTACCTTACAAACCCAACAAGTATAAAGTACGTAGTTAAAAAACGTTGTTTCATATACCACAAGCAATGATAAATATTAGGAGTTTGATGAGGTTTCTCCATTATTTATTAGGTGTTTGATGAGGTTTTTTTCTCTCTTTTTTTTTTTCCAAAATATATATGAAAGTTTTTGTGATATTTCATATATATTTTGGAAAAACCATAGTTTATATGGTAAGGCATATATCTCATACTAATTAAAATTAATTTCTTGGCCAATGTAGTAAATTTCATGTATATTAAGAAAGTGACAAACCATTTTTGTTAAGGTGATGCATATTGTATTAATTATGGGTCAAACATGGTATTTAAAATGACAATAAAGAAAGGGATAATCTTTATTGTTGTTTCAAATAAGAATTTTAAGAAAGGAATTAAATGAATTTCCATGACGAAAGTCATGGTAGAGTTAGTTAGAACTTAAAATGAAAATGAAAATATGACCATAACTATAGAAAGAAATATCATAAATTCAAAGAGTGAGAAATTCAATAGAGAAAATAAAATTTTTAATTGATGGCTCCGCTGATTAAGATATTAATAGATAAGATCAAATATTGCGTAAATCAAGTTTACGTCAATTATATTTTTATATTTTTGGAAGTCTAAGTGTTGTCAATGTACTTTAATTTATTAGTCTCAATATAGTACTTGTCGGCGTTTATGAGTGATATTAAATATAACTGAAAATAGACATGGCGTACTTAATTATGTAGTTTGACGTTGTATTGGAACGACCAACAATTTATTAACACATATTGATGACATGTATCATGTGGATATAATTTAACTAATAAAAAAGTTTGATTTTCCTAAAAAAAAATAAAAAAGTTTGATTATTTTTTCCTCAAAAAAAAAAAAAAATCTTCAAAAACAAAATGTTCTAGCAACTTAAAATTTCTTTTTAACACACAGTAAAAAAGATCAGTCTATTTTTTGTACAGTCTCTAAACTTTTTAACATGTTAAAGTTTACTCCCAAATCCGATAATCCTTGTTAGTTTTTTTTTCTTCTTTTTGGAACATACTCCTTGTTAGGGTTTATTTTAAGACTATGTTTATACATATGAAAAAAAATTTATAACACACTAAATCATTTGTTACATTTATTAATTAGGATTTCTTTTTGGGTGAATGAATATTCATATAAAGCATAATTAAGTTTAAGCAAAGAGTAAGGAGCTGATTAAAAAAGCAAAAAGAGAGAATTAAAGAAGCAAATACGAATTATTATTTCTCTGGAAACATTATTATTTATTGAGAGTTTTGCATGTGTTACATGGTTGATTATACAGAAACATAGATCAGAAAAAGCAATCCCCATAACAATGGATTTTCTTTATTCATCCTAAATTATTTGATCAGTTGGAGGAGGCACGTGAGAGGCAGATGAGAACCGCGGCGAGAACGATCGGAAAAAGGAGCAGCAGAAGCCCGGACGGCGGCTGAATGGTGCCGATCCCCAGCGGCAGAAACAGAAGAAATGCAGCCACCAGAAGAACCATAAAAACGCTTCCCACCCCACACACACTACTTTCTTCCATTGCTGCCAATCTGTCGCCCGATCGACTCCGACCCACCTACTCGTACGTTCTTCCTCGACTTCTCCGACGTATCGGAGTGACGAAGGGTTGAATATGTCTGTCGGAGTATAGAAAATGTGAGGATTAATTAAGAGGGAAGAAAAATAGTTGGAGGATTGTGAATCTAAAATATTGGGCTTGGAGGAGTGTTTTGTAGATAACAAGTGAAGAATTGAGAAGAAGAAATGATAGGGTATTTATAGAGGGAAAGGGATAATGACCATTCATGAAAAGAAGCAACTATTCATGAAAAAAGTATAAAATAAAATAATATATATAACTATTCATGAAAGACACAACATTTCATTTGAAACTCAAAATGGTTCTTCAAGTTCAAGTTTGAATTAATTTTTTTATACAGTTTCTTCTCTGAAAATACTGAGTTATTTTGAAATTATATACGCCAATCAACAAAAGAAACTGTCACGAAAGTTAATTTTAGATTACATGATACAAATTTCTTTTGAAATCTGGCCAACATGTCCATAGAAGCCGTTAAGACACACATTGCTTTCTTCATATTAAAAAAAATGCGGTTGAAATTTGTAATATAATTTTAAAGTAATTACATTACGGAATTTTTGGATGTGGTGATCTTTTCATCGTGAAAGTTATTTTGCAACCAAAATTGGAAGAAACTTTGCTCTTGAATGTGCATGAGCCATTTTGCGTCTCACCTTCGCGTGACCCAATAACATGTGTTAGTTTTTTGTTTTTCTATTTTTATAATTATTTTATTAAAGCTCAATATCTCGTTATAAGGAAAAAAGATAAATGAAAAGATAATTTTTTTAAAAAAAATTCTGACCTTCTACCGTACCTTTAGAATTTTTCTTTTCTTTTTACTTTCTATTCGTATGTAATTTTAGATGGTAAAACAAAATACAGACTTTTGTTTGATGCAAAAGGAGAATAACCTAAGAAATTGGTGAGTGCCTATTGAAAAAAGAGAGATGGGCCTCAAACACTGTTTGGGCGGACCCAACTATTAAAATTTGGGATTACTACATACCTATTTAGCAATCCTAATTCAAATTATTAGTATATGTTTTTGTAATATTAAATAATTTTTAAAATCACAAATCGGTAAATTTGAAAGTTACCATTTAAATCCCTTCGACTCTTCTGCCTCCTCTATTTTCCACCTCCAACAGACCGTCTTTATTTTCCGTCTCCGACCGACCGTCTCTGCATTTCTTCGCCTCTGCCACTGTCTGGGTGCCTCCGTCTTATCCCTTCACCGTCTCCGATATACTTATTCAAAAACTCGCCGTTTCCGTCCGCTCCTTCATCTCCGGTTGCCGTTCCTTCGTCTCCGGTCCCCCTCCATTGTCGAAGCAGTTCGTCTTCCGTTTATCCTGATCGAAAGGTTTGCATTCAAATATATCCTAAGGAGCCGTTTGTTTTGTGGGAATCGAAGATTCCCGTGAAACGAGTATTTGAATTCTCACGTTTGTTTTGTGATAATGTAAGATATCCGGGTATCTCGAGATGTGTCCGGGTATCTTAGGATGCCCATTTGGAAGGTATCCAAGTCGATTTGGATGCCTTTTGAAACATGAGTTTTCATGATTCCTATGTCGCGGGCATCCTATGTTGACATTTTTATCCTGTCATTATTTTTTCATATATTTTCTTTTATCAAATTTCTTTGGTTTTATTTGTAATTTTATAGTTTAAATAAATTAATATACTCATTGACTAATAAGCAATTAAGTATATTTTATGTATTACATGTACATATAAAAAAAACTTCAATTAAATTATACAATATCTTCATTTACTTTTAGTATTTGAAATGAATTATTATGAATAATATCTATTATCTTAAATACCTAATTTTAAAGCAACATTTTCTTAATTATCAGCTTACCTTTGATATTTTTCTTCTTAAAATAATATAATTTGATAATATAATAAATGAATTTTACCCCATATAACATTAATTATATAATTGTATTTTTAAAAAAATATTAAAGTTGAAAATGAAATATATATATTCAATATTAATTCCTTTTAAAAAAGTCTTATATTAATATGAATTCTACCAGATAAGTGATAACATACAAAAATCAATACATTATACGGAATTAATATAAAAAAACATAAAATACTAAATTGATTTTAAGAAAATCTATTATATAAATGCAAATTATATTAGATTAATGTATAAATTATATAAATATTCGTAAGGGTGTTTTTGGAACATTATATAAATTTAGAATATTCCCATGAATAAATCCTGCAAAACAAACGTGGTTATCCAGATATTCCCGGACATCCTTATATATTTTCCTACGAAACAAACGTGGTCATCCAAAGATGCCAGAGA